TGTTTCAGATAATGAATGTTTGTTATTTCCTTATTTTCTCTCATTAGCCTCTTTAACGGTCCGGTTAATGATCTGAGATCACGTGAGTGGTCTGATGTTGCGTGTGTCAAGTCATGTACAGCTGATATTGATCATGTTAGTGTGTTTTGCATGCTCATGCAGTGATGTTCCCGTCAGATTATGATCTGTGACGAGGTCAGCATTGATGAGCTTCACGCTGTGCTCATTCAGAGAATCCAAAAACACACGACAGCCAGTCAAACCAGCGGCGGATCGGTCCCGCCGTCAGACAGCGCTCCTTCATTTCATCTGCAGGTTTATTATCAGCTGGAATCAGAGCTTCAGTCACACACACGTGATGCTGGGAGTGTTTACCGTTGATACAGATTACAGTAGAAATGATCACAGACACTGAAGATACGCTGTGTTTAGATGATGTTATGATGAACATCACACACACACCTGTAGATCAGATCCTTCAACAGCATTTCTGGAAATATTACAGGTTTAACACAATATAATATATTTTGAAATTTTTTTTGTGTATATATTGTTGCAATATTATTGTTAATATTAATGTAATTCTGATCTGCAGGGCTCACAGAGATGTTTCACACTCAGACGTGTCACAGCACATTAACATACACGAAACAGAGTGTATGTGTGAGAGTGTGTGTGTGTGTGTGTGGTCTGTTGTGTGTGTGTGTGTGTGTGTATGTGTGTGTGTTGGGCAGAGGTCACACGAGGGACAAAGCATTAGAGCAGGTTTAGTAAAGCTTAACTAGGATGATTGGAGAGATTACTGCTCTTCACGGCCCACGCTGCACTTTCATGATGCTGGAACATCAGAAACTCACTAAAACTGATTTTAATTCTGACATAAGTGTTAATCCTGTTCCATTCACATATTAAACCTCAGTGAGAGAGAGAGAGTGAGAGAGAGAGAGAGAGAGTGTGTGTGAGTGTGTGTGTGTGTGTGTGTGTCTGTGTCTGTGTGTCTGTGTGTCTGTCTGTGTGTCTGTGTCTGTGTGTGTTTGTGTGTGTCTGTGTCTGTGTCTGTGTCTGTGTCTGTGTGTGTGTGTGTCTGTGTGTGTGTGTGTCTGTGTGTGAGCAGAGCTGTTCTTTGATTCTAATACCTCTCCTTTCATCACTTGACATCATTAGGTCGTTCAGATCGTGTTGTTTGTGTTCGTTCAGGTGTTGAGAATGAATCGCTCTATAGACAGATGCTTTCACACCGACATGAAGCCATCAGGTCAAACGCTTCCCATCAGCCTCTGCTCCATTTATAGATGGGAGTTGGATACATATATTATTATTGTAATAGTTTTTATTTTTATATTTTCCATTGTAATTTTCATTTTAGTTCAAATTTTCGAAATTTTGTGTGCCTTTATCTTTTATTTTTATATGGCTGAATAGTTTTTTAATTATAATTTTTTTATTTCAGTTATTTCAGTTTGGTTAATTTAGTTCAAATTAAACTGATAAATGATAAAAATCTCATTTTGAGAGATGCATATATTTTTTTTAATGTATTTATTCCAGTTAACATTTACTATATTTAAAAACAAACAAAGATGTTTTAGTTTTAATTTTAGTTACCTATATGTATGCACACTAAAAATACAGTAAAAATCTTAAAAAATTTAATTTTAAATAATTCTCTGATTAATAGAAAGTTCAAAAGAACAAAATAGAAAATGTCTTTACTGTCACTTTTGATCAGTTTAATTCAGCTTTGATCTGAAGAACACAAAATAACATATTATAGTTTTTCAGACTCTCAAAATATCCTCTTTTGAGTCGCGCAGAACAAACGTCATACAGGTTTGAGCGACATGATGATTTCTGTGTGAACTGTCCCTTTAAGAAGCATCTTCCCGCTCCTCTGAGTCTCCTAATGTTTCAGAAGTGTGTTTGATTTCATTATATGCTGTAATTGAGTATGTTGAGAGCATCATCACTGCGGTTTGGGGGTTTTTAACCCGTTGTAATTGGTGAGTTAGTTCAAACCCGCTTTAATGGCATTCATTTGGGTTTAATTAGTGCAATACAGCGCAGATAAACAGTGATTTACTTAAAGGCATAGCTGACCCAAAAATGAACATGTGCTGTAAATGTGTTCACCATCAGTTCATCTGAGATCAGGATGAGTGTGTTTCTTCATCAGGTTTGGAGAAATGTAGCACTGCATCAGTGTCTCAGCAGTGGATGCTCTGCAGTGAATGGGTGCCGTCAGAATGAGAGTCCAAACAGCTGATAAAAACATCACAATAATCCACAGCACTCCAGTCCATCAGTTAACATCTGGAGAAGACAAAAGCTGAAACACATCCAGCATTAAGATGTTTTTTAATTTCAAACAATGCAGTGGCCTCGCTTATTCTCTTAGAATTGGAACAATTAAAATTAAATTAAGTTAAAAGTTAAGTTATCCTTTGTTTTCCAGTGAAAATGGCAAAAGATTCTTAAATCAAGACACGTTTGGTTTCAGAAAACAGGGCTCCTCATCTTCTGTCATTTTGCTTCTCAAGTATCTTGATTTAGATTCAGAAGTTTAGATAACGAGAGTAAAAATCATTTTTTGCAGTGTGATTTCAAAGGAAAAGACTGACTGACATGTAAAAGAGCTCAGTTGTTTTTACATGCTGTTGTGGTGCATGTTTATGTGAAAACTATGGCATAAAAACAAAGAAGGTCATTGTGACATTTTAAGCTCATAATTCTTAGCTTTTTCCCTGAAAATGGCAGGTTTATGCCTTAGAGTTGCAGTTTAAACTCATAATTGTGAGCTTGCGTCTTGCAATCCTGCCAGAATTCTGACTTTACCTCTCGCAATTCTGTTTTTTTTTTTCACCATGAAAAAAATAAATAAAATAAAAAAAAAATGTAAAAGAATGACTTTTTCCCCCACTTAGAATTAGGAGGGGGAAAGTCTGAATCATGTGAAATAAAGTCACAATTACTTTGTAAAATATGTTTTATTGTGGTTCAAACTCAGTTTCTGTGGCGGTGGAGCTGGTTTGTCAGATGTAATGAACTGAAATAGTTTCTCAGACGAGTGCGTGTGGTTTGAGTTCAGAGGGAATATTCTCATGTGTGTCTGTGTTTGTGTTTGTCTGAGTCTGTCAGAGGAGCACAGAGGCTCTGATCTTATTCGTCTGATCTCTGGCTCTCTGCATCCGTTTGTTTGTGTTTTTCAGACTGAAGGATAGTTTCGTTCCTTAACCAGTCATGTTAAGCATCTTAACTAGTTATGGGTTTCACCATCATGTGTAACCGTACATCAGATATAAGCAGTTGAAGAGGCTGCTGGTTTCTGAGTGCACTTAGTAGACGACACACTTCTTCATTACCTCCACGGTTAGACAGCACTCACAAGAATTCTAAAATATTAATATGATAATCAAAAGTATCAGTGCAGCTTTATTGAATTTGTTTCAACAATTCAGTCATTATAATTTAAGTAAATAATTGTCAATATTTATTTTACTGAATATTATGAATAATAATAATTGTTGTTGTTGTTATTATTATTATTATTATTAAAATGAATTTTTTTTATTTTGAATGATATATAATTAAAAAATATTATTATTTTTATTATTTAATTATAAATGAATAATTATCAATAATTCAATATTTATTTTACTCAATAATAATAATAATAATATAATAATAATAATAATAATTGTTATTATTATTATTATTATTAAAATGAATGTTTTATTTTGAATTATATATAATTAAAAATTATTATTATTATTTAATTATCAATGAATAATTATCAATAATTCAATGTTTATTTTACTCAATAATAATAATAATAATATTAAAATAAATGTGCATATAAAATAATAATAATAATATATTTAATATGATTGTTTGAGCCTGTCTTAAAGCATCATCTCCATCTGTTTCCAGTATATTTTGATAGAAGAAATGAAAAATAAAAATATAAGCATCTAAATGATCAAATCAACATTAAGATCATTCAAGTTTTTGTCATTTTCAGTAATTACCAATATTTTAAAAATAAATTATTTTTGAAAATAGATATGAACTCAGCTGAGCTCAATGCATATGTGTAGTATTGTGTAATGAATATGAATGAACATGATATTTTGAAAAGGAATATTTTAATGTTGGGTGATTTTCAATAATAACTCATATGGTCTCGTTCTGCTGTGGTTTGTTTCTGGCTCTTCTGCAGCGTGGACAAACATCACAAACCCATCTCATTCCAATCAGGCCGATGCTGGCCGTCTGAAGATGAGCGTTCAGACTATTATTGAGATGAGGCCGATCAATACGTCATTTTCCTGCTGAAATGAGCCTTTCGTTCTCTGCAGTCTGTGTTTTGACTTTATTCATGACATCCGTCCATCTGCACCATCTCAGCTCGTTTAACGCTTTAATGATGTGTGTGGATCTGCATCTCAGGTTAAGCTGCTCCGCTGTGGCTGCAGATTTGACCGGATTATGTTGATTTATTAGCTGAGTTTGATTTATGTGAAGCAGGAGTTCAGATCCTCTGTCTGCTGCTGATATGTTCATATTTCAGACGGCTGTGTCAGTCTCCTCACACGAGCGCTCATATAAACACTACAGTCAGCCGTCTGCGGTCTACATAGTCTGCTGCCTTCTGAGGGAGCGTCCTCACTGCAGTGGACACTCAGAAGTGAGCGATTTGAAGCACTCTACAAAGGCAACTTACAAATTAGAAATGCAACAAACTTTTATTTTATTTTATTATTTTCAGTTTATCTAAAGCGACTTACAATTGAGGAATACAGCAGTTAATATACGGTATATTATATTTCATGCACATTTACATTTCTTCATTTAACAGACAAATGAGGAAAACTACAAAGCATCAGACATGGAATGAAAGACTCAAATCCTAATAGATTCCTCTAGAGTTTGATGATGGCACTAATGCAGATGCGTGTGATGATCCTGTGATGTTTATGGTGTCTCTCTCTCTCTGTTCTCAGTGCCTCCTCAGTTCCTCAGCTACCCGTCGAACACGTATGCGTATGAAAGCACGGACATCGAGATGGAGTGTGCCGTGACGGGAAACCCGCAGCCCACCGTCCGCTGGGTGAAGAACGGAGAGGCCGTCATTCCCAGCGACTACTTCCAGATCGTGGTGAGAAATACAGCTAGTGTTTCAGAATCAGGAGGACGTTTGTTTGGTTCACATCACTAGGATTAGAATTTACATTTAGTCGTTAGCAGACGCTTTTATCCAAAGCGGACAATGAAGCAATCAAAATCAACAAAAGAGCTATAATATGCAAGTGCTATAACACGTCTCAGCTAGCTTAACACAGTACACGTAGAATTCATTCATTCCTGTTTATTTATTTGTTTGTTCCTTTCTTATTCATTCACTGGTTCTCATGCATTTATTTATTCATTTATTTTTATTAATTCAGTCATTCATCATCATCATCATCCTCTATTTATTTATTTATGTATTTATAATTCATATATTTTAATTATTAATTTGTATGTATTCATTCATGTTTATTTATTTTTATTATTAATTATATCATTTTTATTTTAATGTATTACTTTTATTCATATTGAAATATCTTACGAGAAATGTATTGTTAGTTTTTTTGTAGTTTTCTCTCTCTCTCTCTGTAATGTGCTGATATATCATAAGTGCATGAGCCCATTTAAGCTCATATGTGAGAAGCTCCTGAAGTCTGATGATTGTCCCGTGTGTGGTCTGCAGGAGGGCGGTCATCTCCAGATTCTGGGTCTGGTTCGCTCAGACGAGGGTTTCTATCAGTGTATCGCTGAGAACGAAGCGGGAAACAGTCAGGCGATGGCTCAACTCATCCTGCTGCAGCCCGGTAAGATCCAACACACTCATATGCTGACCTGTGAGCATCCTTCATCTGCGAGCTTGCACACGCAGTGTGTGTGTGTGTGTGCGTGCGTGCGTGCGTGTGTGTGTGTGTGTGTGTGTGAGAGAGTGAGTGTGTGAGTGGGTGTGTGTGTGTGTGTGTGCGCGCGAGAGTGTGTGTGTGTGTGTGTGTGTGTGTGCGTGCGAGAGAGAGAGTGTGTGTGTGTGTGCGTGCGAGAGAGAGAGTGTGTGTGTGTGTGCGTGCGAGAGAGAGAGTGTGTGTGTGTGTGCGTGCGAGAGAGAGAGTGTGTGTGTGTGTGCGTGCGAGAGAGAGAGTGTGTGTGTGTGTGCGTGCGAGAGAGAGAGTGTGTGTGTGTGTGCGTGCGAGAGAGAGAGTGTGTGTGTGTGTGCGTGCGAGAGAGAGAGTGTGTGTGTGTGTGCGTGCGAGAGAGAGAGTGTGTGTGTGTGTGCGTGCGAGAGAGAGAGTGTGTGTGTGTGTGTGTGCGTGCGAGAGAGAGAGTGTGTGTGTGTGCGTGTGAGAAAGCATTTGTTTCATAGGACGTGCATTTGTGAGGTTTAGTCTTGAGGATATGTGTGATCTCTGAGAGATTTCCCAGAATGCCATGCTGTGCGTGTAGAGCACTGATCCAGGGCTTTATCTGAAGAGAGACAGTGATGTAGAGATGATGTTCTGCTGGTGTTCAAATGAGTGTGAGATTCTGTCTAAACCTGCCGTGACTGTCATACGGAACGACTGCTTTCTGCTTATATACACCGATGCATTAGGAAGCTCCGCCTCCAGTCTAATTTCATTGGTCAGCCAAGTTTCTGCCAAAATACCACAATTACCACCAGGGTTGGGGAAAGTTAAAAGTAATGCATTACAATATTGCATTACTCCTTAAAAAGGTAACGAATTACATTACTTAGTTACTATTATGAAAAGTAATGTGTTACGTTACTTTCGCATTACTTTTTAAACCTGGGCTTGCTTGATTGTTTTTAATATAAAAAGTTGTATTTTTAGCTATTGTAAAAGCCCTTTGACACCAAAGGTGAAATGAATACGCCTCAGGCTGAAGGAAATGTAAATTCACATATTTAATTAATTGCATGTTTACCTCATATTCCTGAGGTTTGCATTTGACTGTTTTTATTGATTTTGAGGAATACTGAATCTATTTTTGTGCATGTTCACACAGCGCACACAACGCCTCTGCACTCACTCCTCAACACGAGAGCTCCCATTCAATACATGGGAAACAAAGTAACTTGCATTAGTTATTTTCTTGTTAATTAAAAACTAATGCATTACTTTACTAGTTACTTGTAATGCGCCCAACACTGGTTACTACTGTTTATTACATTTACATGTATTCCTTTATGTCTTTGTGAGTGTGCGTGTGTGTGTGTGTGCGTGCGTGCGTGTGTGTGTGTGTGTTTGTGTTACTGATCCGACACACACACACACACATGCACGCACGCACGCACGCACACACACACACACACACACACACTGAGGTAGTTAAGCGCTGCGTCACATGCTGATTTCCTCCAGCTTATGTGTTTATGGGCCTGTAACAACTCGCTTTCTGCAGGGCTTTCATCATGTTCGTCATGATTTTGAGGGTTTGGGAGCAGACATGTGATATTTCTATGTTAGTTACTTCACTTGTCAGTAGAAATTATAATAGTTAGAATGCATTAAATGAATCATAAGGCAATAAAGACATTTATAATGTTTCAAAATATTTATATTTCAAATAAATGCTGTTCTTTTGAACTTTCTATTTCACGGTTTCCACAAAAATATTGTGCAGCACAACTGTTTTTAACATTGATAATAATCAGAAATGTTCCTTGAGCAGCAAATCAGCATATTATACTGATTTCTGAAGATCATGTGACACTGAAGACTGGAGGAATGATGCTGAAAATACAGCTGCGCATCACAGAAATACATTACAGTTTAACAGAAATTCACACAGAAAACAGCAGTTTGAAATTGTAAAAATATTTCACTTTGACCGTATTTTTGATCAAATAAATGCAGCTTTGTTGAGCAGAAGAGACTTCTTTCAGAAACATTACAAAATGTTACCGACCTCAAACTTTTGAACGGTAGTATTTATTTCAAAATATACCAGAATATATTGCTAATATAGAAGTTTTAAACAATTTGTCGCTGTATTAAGTGAAGTTGAACCTCAAACTTTCCTTTAAAGTGACTGCAAACATCTGCTGTGAAACACACTGATATATGCACGCACGTACAGCATTGGTGTGTGTTTGTGGGAGGTTTGGGATCAATCTGTCTGCCGCTAATGCAACTTCTGCCAAAAACCATCTGCTGTTGATAAAAGTCTCCCACAGAAATGTGAGAAGATTAAAAATACCTGAATCACAATGTCATGTCAATCAAAAAACTATTAGCGGCAGTTTGAAACTCAAGCGAAGGTTTTAATTAAGCAAGAATGAGAGTAAAACTCTGTGGTTCCTCTGCGGTTCCTACTGTTTTAATCACGGATCCCTGCGGTAAACATCGCAGACGGCGCCTGCATTCACTGTGCAGAAACAGCAGTTACCATGGCACGACTGCCACACGAGCAGAGCTGTGATTTTTAACTGGGTTTATGAGAGCTTGGTGTTCAGACGTCCCATAATGCCAGTAGAGAGACACTCGCAGTCTCATTAATGCTGTCAGCACTTAACAAAAGCACTATAGAGTTAAGCATCACACACTCTATTAAATTCAATAGCTGTCCTGACAGACACACAAAAACTGCTCTCTATGGAGCCTGAGTGTAAACTCAATCCATCCCAGATTAATTGGGACAAGGATGAGACCAGAGGAGATGATCTGAGACGAGGATGAGACCAGAGGAGACAATCTGAGATGAAAATGAGACCGGAGAAGATGATTTGAGACAAGGGTGAGACCAGAGGAGACGCTCTGAGATGAGGGTGAGACCAGAGGAGACACTCTGACACGAGGTTGAGACCAGAGGAGATGCTGTGAGACAAGGGTGAAACCAGAGGAGACGCTCTGAGACAAGAATGGGACCAGAGCAGACACTGTGAGACAAGGCTGACACAAGAGGAGACGCTATGAGACTAGGATGATACTGTGAGATGAGGATGAGACCAGAGGAGATGCTGTGAGATGAGGATGAGACCAGAGGAGATGCTGTGAGACGAGGATGCGACCAGAGGAGACACTCTGACATGAGGATGACACCAGAGGAGACACTCTGAGACTAGGATGAGTCCAGAGGAGAAACTGTGAGACGAGGATGACACCAGAGGAGACACTGAAGAGATCAGAGGAGACGCTCTGCGATGAGGATGAGACCAGAGGAGACGCTGTGAGATGATGGGGAGTCCAGAGGAGACACTGTGAGACGAGGATGACACCAGAGGAGACACTGATGAGACCAGAGGAGATGCTCTGATACCTGATGAGACACTGCGAGATGAGGATGAGACCAGAGGAGACACTGTGAGACGAGGATGAGACCAGAGGAGACACTGATGAGACCAGAGGAGATGCTCTGATACCTGATGAGACACTGTGAGATGAGGATGAGACCAGAGGAGACACTGATGAGACAGGATGAGACCAGAGGAGATGCTGTGAGACGAGGATGCGACCAGAGGAGACACTCTGACATGAGGATGACACCAGAGGAGACACTCTGAGACTAGGATGAGTCCAGAGGAGAAACTGTGAGACGAGGATGACACCAGAGGAGACACTGAAGAGATCAGAGGAGACGCTCTGCGATGAGGATGAGACCAGAGGAGACGCTGTGAGATGATGGGGAGTCCAGAGGAGACACTGTGAGACGAGGATGA